TGGGCGACAGAGTGGGACTTCAACTCAAAAAAAAAAAAAAAAGTAAAGTACATTAGGGAGAAAGAGAAGAAAGAAAGAAGATTTACCTCCCCAAGGTGGGGAAGGGGGGGCACCAAAGCCAGGAAGCATGGCGACTGCCATAGCTCAAAGAGCACATGGCCACACCAGACTCTGGCAAGGCAATAACCACTGGTTGCTTTGGTTGAGTCCTTTTAACCATTCCCCTTGATGGGGGAAGATCATTAAGTGAGAGAACCATAATAGAGTATACCATAAACTTAGGTTAAGAGCATGCTATAACCCAATAAATATGTAATCGGCTTGTGGACAATAGCGCAGCCATTTTAGTTTTCTGCTTTAAAACATAACCTGTAGCTGTTTAAAGTTTCAGTTATGGGGAAAACTGCAAAGCTCCAGTTCAAGCTTTAATCCCTTCCCTTGACCCACTTTCCCCTTAGCAACAACCAATCAGGTGCCAGGGGAAAATCACCTAAAGTTTCCAAATATCTCTGCAACTTCACCAGCTAGTGGGCCAAGGTCAGCTGGAGTCAAGCTAGCCAATCCTCCACGATTGAGCTGACTACCAGAGGTTACTACCCAATTAAATGGTAACAAGACTGGAAAGTCCCCCCAAACTCCTCCTCCCTTTGTGTGAAAGCATAAAAGGCATCTGCTTAAGGAAGTCAGGGCCTCTGGGTGTACTCCGCTGCGTCGGTTGTTCACGACAGAGGTCCAGGCTCGAGCTTGCAAATAAAGACCCTCTTGAACTTTCATCGGAATTGGCTCTTGGTGGTCTCGGATTGAACTTTCAGCCACTGCATAGGGTGATTGGGTGGTGGTCTGCCTCCACGTCATCACAAAGGGGCAGGCAAGCACAGGTACTGATGATGTCAGGTGGTGGACAGCAGGCAGATGGGTGGGTTAGTCACACGATTGCTGCCATGGTGGGGCTTATCTGTGTCAAGTAGTTCACAGAGGGCTTATTAGGTTAACCTCTGGGGGAGAGTGATTCCTCCGAGAGACTTGTTAGACATTTGCAATTCATAAACTCAGACATTTGCAACTCATAAATTCCTTGACCAAAGGTGGGGTGGTCTTATTATTACTTTTATGACTTTGGTCAGCCAAAGGGTGCTCTTTGATCTTTGGTCTTGACAAGGAACCTAAAAGTTTACTAAAAATTATTATGCTAAACTATGAATGATTAGGCTGTCCCGGTTTTGCATCTGAAGGAAATTTGCCGAGGGGGATGGGATAGGCTGCTACTTGTACTATAGTAGAATGTCTGAATGCTTGCTAATGGTTGCACTGAGGCAAAAAGACTAAAGAATAAGCTAAGTTTCTTTTAGGTTTCTATATGTACCTTTCATACGTATTCGTGATTATGTGTCAGAGCTATGGCAGAGAGGACAGGTGTATGGGAGACAAAAAATTAACCTGATGGGGGCATATCTTTAAATTATTTATTTCTTTATTTCAGTTGGAGTCTATCACCCAGACTGGAGTGCAGTGGCATGCTCACTGCCAGCCGCCACCACAGCCTCAACCTGCTGGGATCAGGCGATCTTGCCATCTCAGCCTTCCAAGTAGCTGGAACTACAGGTGCACACCACCATGCCTGGCTAATTTTTGATTTATTATAGAGATAAGGTCTTGCCAAGTTGCCCGGGCTGGTCTCGAATCTCTGGGCTCAGGCAATCCTCTCGTCTCTCAAAGTGCTGGGATGACGGGCATGAGCCACTGGGCCCAGCTGATAGGACGATTTTAAAAATGAGAAGCTGCTGGGAACAGTGGCTCACACCTGTCATTCCAGCACTTTTGGAGGCTGAGGCAAGAGGATTGCCTGAGCTCAGGGATTCGAGACCAGCTTTGGCAATTTGGTGAGTCCTCGTCTCTACGGTAAACCAAAAAATTAGCCGGGCGTGATGGCCCATGCCTGTAGTTCCAGCTACTTGGAAGGCTGAGGCGGAAGGATCGCCAGAGCCCAGCAGGTCGAGGCTGCAGTGGCCAGGAGTGGGCCACTGCACTCCAGTCTGGGAGACAGAGTGAGACTCCAACTCAAAAAAAAAAAAAAAGAAATCAGTCAGGCATAGTGGCACACGCCTATGGTTCCCACTACTAAAAATAAAAAATTAAGCCAGATGAGGTGGCTCATGCTGGTAACTCGAGGACTCGGAGGTGGAGGTAAGAGAAATGCCTGAGCCTAGGGGTTTGAGACCAGTCCGGGCAACTTGGTGAGACCTCGTCTCTACAAAAAAAAAATTAATAAATAATTAGCCAGGTATGGTGGCACATGCCTGTGGCTCCAGCTTCTTGGAAGGCTGAGACAAGGATTGCCCACTACACTGCACTCCAGAGGGACGTCAGAGGAAAACTCTGACACACACACACACACACACACACACACACACACGGATTCTACAAATAGAGTGACTATTGATACTGCTGCAGAAAGGCATTTACTCCAGGAAAGAGGAGAAACAGTCATCTTCCCCCACCCTCCATTGAAAGTTTTTCCTAGGCCGGGCTAGGTGGCTAAGCCTGTAATCCCGCGCTTTGGGAGGCTGAGGTGAGTGAATTGCCTGAACCCGCGGGTTCGAGACCCATCTGGGCAACTTGGCAGACCTCATCTCTACAATAAATAAAAAATTAGCCGGGCGTGGTAGCGCACACCTGTAGTTCCAGCTACTTGGAAGGCTGAGGTGGAAGGATCGCCGGAGCCCAGCAGGTCAAGGCTGCGGTGGCTGGGAGTGGCCACTGCACTCCAGTCTGGGCGACAGAATGAGACTCCAACTCAAAAAAAAAGAAAAAAAAAAGTTTTTCCTTGGGCTGGATGTGGTGGCTCACATCTATAATCCCAGCACTTTGGAAGGTCGAGGTGAGAGAATTCCCTGAGCCCACGGGGTCAAGACCAGCCTGGGCCAATTGGCGAGACCTCGTCTCTGCAATAAATAAAAAATTAGCCAGGCTTGCTGGTGTGCACCTGTAGTTCCAGCTACTTGGAAGATTGAGACAGCAGGATCACCTGAGCCCAGCAGGTCAAGGCTGTGGTGGCTGTGAGTGTGTCACTGCACTCCAGCAGCGGAGACAGAGGAGACTCCAGCTAAA